GAAATGGAATGTAAAACTAGCACCGATTAACATTTCTGAAATCACGGACCGATTGATGCAATAATATGTATATAATGTGCAAGCGAACAGTGACAAACCAGTCGCATAAATCTGAGGCATCGAAGAGGAAACAGCTTGATGGATAGAAAAGTAATGCTGATGAATATCTACATGTATGGGGAAACATGAGAGGATCGACTTAAGTAGAATCCAGCATTCCGGTTTTTCATTCTGCAGAGTTTGAGATATTTGCGGGGGCGGGGTCAGACTTTGTCAGACTTTCTGCATGCATTGGTCCTCACAGAGATGCAGACATACTTTGGAATGAAACATCGAAGTACATTTTGAAAGTGCCTGATGTAGGAGATGGAGAGGATCAGTTAGAAGAGATTTATCAAACTCTACAACGAATCTTAAAAATTTGACCCACCACTATATTTATGACATTCATACAGTACAGTTGACCGGCTCCGCTGAAATTTTTCAGTACTGATGCAGATTTGCGTTGGCCCGCTTCCCGACAGAGAGCTGAACTTCCTGCACAAAGAATAATGCATGGGCCAGGAGAATGGAAGATTTATTTTAAAGATGCATGATGAGTGATACGGTAAAATGCAGCGTGATGAATTTTGACCAACTTCTGTCTGAAAGGATTGACGACGCATGATGCGCAGGTTCGAATAGTGTTATCGAGCCTAATTTCTCAGACGTTTGCCTCCCACGTGACGAGGGATTTCATTTTCGCTCTCTGCGTATCCAGAGTTATCCATCATGCATCTTTCCACGAAATTTTCCCTCCGTCTGATCCATGGGTCATTCTTTGTTTAGAGAGTTGAACGCGCAACGAGGAACACTTTTACATGCTTTTTCTGGAACGAATGCGGACGGGGGCTTCCAGACGTGGCCATCTCTTAGCCGCAACTTGATCTCAGTCTAAGAGCATCTGCGAAGTGTCTTCGCCAGAAATGTGGACGTCACTAGTGCTAAAGTTTGCCAGACCCAACGGCATTTGCGGCGTGAGGACAACCCGCTAATAAAAACTGTCCAACAGACCGGAAAAAACGCAATGTGACGGACCATTAGATTGCAAAATGTACTGATTATTACACTTGATGGTCAGCTGTCAGTTTGGCGAAAGCGAATTGCAGCCTTAAGAAGCAACCGCATCATTCAACATGGCGTGATATCCTGATATTTCGAGGTGATCACATCGAAACACC